TAGTGTAGTAGTTGTAGTAGTGTAGTGTGAGTAGTAGTAGTAGTAGTAGTAGTTGTAGTAGTGGTAGTATGTAGTAGTAGTTGTAGTAGTAGTAGTAGTTGTAGTAGTGGAGTATTGTAGTTTTTAGTAGTATAGTAGTAGGTTTTTGTAGTAGTGGTAAAGAATTGTAGTAGTAGAAAGGGTAGTATAGTAGTTGTAGAATTTTAAGGGTAAAAAATTTTTAATGTAGGGTTTGGGGAAGTGGTATAGTATATTTGTTTTAGTTGAGTTTTTAATGAGTAGTATTTATGTTATTTTTTTTTTTTTTTTAAAGGTTAAGGTAGTAGTATAGATTTTTTAGGTTAAGGTTAGAAATAAATAATTTTTAAAAAAAATAAAAAAAATAAAAAAAAAATAAAAAAATAAATAGGAAGAAGGGTGAGGGTGGGGGAAAGTGAGGGTGGTGTGAAGTGAGGGGTGAGTGGGGGTGGTAGATTTATTTAAGGAATTTTTTTAAAATTTTTAGGATCCTTGGGTGGAAAAATTTTTTGGGATTTTGTTTTTTTTTTTTTTAACAAAAGTTAATTTCCTAGGGGAGAATGACTTATTTTAATTGTTTTTTTTTTTTTTTTTTTTTTTTCCAGGGTTTAAATTGGGAATACTTTTTCCTTTCTTTCCCTATTTTATTGACAAGCTATTTAGAGGTTTAACTTTTTGAAAAAAATTTTATACATCAGCTCTTTTTGAAAAGCATTTTTTTTTATGGCATAAAATAGGGAACGGGAAAATGAAAAATTGGAGCCATCTGTGGGCCAGCTTTTTCTTTTTGATAAACTGACTTTATCTCGATGAATCATTATGCTTACAAATTTTTGTTCCAACTCGAGTCACCCTGGGTATATTGATCCAAGGAGTGATGTTCTGGAGAAGGGTACGCCAGAGGAAGTTGCTGCTTTCTGCCCGTTTGTGGCATAAAAGCTTGTTCCACCTGTCCTCGAAGTGGACCAAGTGTGGTATTTGACAATTTTTGCCTTGTACATAAAGTAAGGCCCACCCACATCCTCCTGTGTTAAGCTCTGCGAAATGCAGATCTACCAGGAGGGTTTTCCAGGCGAAGATGAGAGTCTTGCTCTGTTCCCTCTTCAAAGAGTCCAGATGAAGGGGGGTGGGAAAACCAAGAAAGTGGAGCATACTCAAGGTGTGAGCGACTTGGTGCCTCGACAAATCTTGAAACCCCCTACTGTCAAGCAGAGGAGTACGGCGAAGTGCTAAAAGCTTCCTGGCTCCCTTGTTTGCAAGATTTACAACATGGTCTTCATATTTTTGGAGTCAAATTTTCACCCAAGGATATAAAACTTCTTCTCCAGTCCCCAACCCTCCCATTATCCTTACTACGCCCAGCATTACCATCTGGGCCCTAGAGACGATCTTATTTGCGTTTTCTCAGGTGCAATGTTACTTCCATCTATTTCCCCAAGCTGATATAGCTCTCAGCTGGTGTTTGTTACTTAGAGCAGCTGGCTTTCTTCTCTTGGATAAGTGAATGTAGTGTACAGTCGTCGCATATGCATGTGATTCTGGGGGGGAAATGAAGAAGGTCTTTGAAGTAGCATTCCAAAACAGTGGTCCTAGCACGCTTCCTTGGGGGAACACTTCCCCCAGTAGGTGTTTGTGATTCCGTTCCTTTGAGAACTACATTTAGAGATCACCATAAAGGTAATCATGAGGAGACATAACGTGACCTGCAATTCCCAGTGTTTTGAAGTTTTGAAAAAAGAACCCGGGTGCCACACCCCGGGCAAAAGCCCAGCAATTCCAGTGCTCCACACAGCTGATTTTGGGTTATCCAGTACGGTGCCTCTTTGTGGGAGGTTTAACAACAATCACAGCAGAGTAACCTTTTCCGAAGCCTATTGGACGATACAAAGTAGTGAGTGGTAGTCAAAAAAAATCTTCATTTTTCTTGGATTTTTTGTCTCAAGGATCTTTCCAGTGATTGACAGGAGTGATACTGGTCTGAGTTCTGATTTCTGCTATGCTCTTCTTTTTGTGAACTGGGGCTACATTTCCTCTTTCCACAGAAGGGGGCCCTTTTCCTGAAGGGAGTCCTGCAAGAGCGAGTTAGAGGTCTGCTAGCTGGTCGCACACTTCTCAAATCTTTGGGGTCAACTTGTCGGGCCCCCAAACCCTTTTTTTGGTTTAAAACGATTTAAAAGGAAATTCACCTCCCCCTCTTATTGCACACTGACAGTTTTGACACAGTTCTTGCAGCGACAAGGAGGGTCCCCGCTGGTCAGGAATTGCATTTTGGTACAAAGTGTTTAGCAAAGAGGCTGCCTTCTTTGACTACTAGTAGAGGTGGTCCCATCCGCGATTTAGAGGGGGAATGAGTTCATCAGGCAGATCCTTTTCTGTCCTTGACCAGGGGCCACCCGGTTTTGTAGCCACCCTACCTGATTTCTAGCTTTCTTTTTGTGTCCACCTCCCATTTAGCAATGACCCACTTTTGAACGTCACCCAT